TGGAACAGCTCGTATTCGAAAATATCCTACGTGTTCGTTAATGTCTTTATCAGTTGGAAATGGGGAAAACATTTAATCCAAACATTCATTCAACGCATTAATTTCTCTTATATTTTCTAGACGGATCCTAAATTGGATTTATTTTCGAAAAGATTGATTAACCGCGAAAATAATCGGTATTTTTCACTCTCGTAATTTACTGCAATCCATCGAGGAATCGTCAAGATATGTAATACCTGAACGAACGGAGCTTAATCAGTCGTAATATTGCCCGCCATAATGCGGGCCCTCGCGTTTCCGCGAGCTTGATGGCGCGCGATCTCTTCGAGAGAGCTCGATCACGCCGATGGATTTCCATGAAATGTGCCAATCGTTCGTCACGCTGTGCGCACCGACGTATTTTAATGCAAAACGTCAAAATGCAATCGATACCTGCCAGTCATCGAACGAGACGAGCCGATCCGTGCGCGTATTTTTGTCATTTTTATCGCCTCGAAAGCTGCCATTCGAGCGGCGCGGCGTGCAGTCGTTTAACGCAGTCTACAGCTTTCATATTGCGCGAGCAAAGTATATCTTCTTCAAATGTCCAAGCCCGAATTCAAATTTCAACGAATGTAAGAAATACACATTCGTTTTTCGTTAACGTATACACAACTCTCAGTCTTCTAAAAAAATTCGCGCGATATATCTCTTCCTTCAGTGCGATTCCGTGGAATAGAGTTTAACTAAACATTTTAAGAACCAAACTTGCGGCGCTTTCGAGCTCGGATTTTTTTCTTCCTTCGCAAAAGCAGCGCGTATCGCAAAGTCTTGTTAGTTCAGGCGGCGGCGGCGGTGGGGGTCGGATATAAATCGAGCGAGAGTAGCGTAAGGAAAGGCGATTTGTAACGAAGGAGGGCCAGCTGATGCGAAATAGGAAAGCCTTTTATAGTCTGGTTTACCCCTATCTCGGGATCCCGCTGCAGCCCAGGCCGCAGTAGAGCGGATAAACGGCGGAGTCCGACGGGTTCCGCAGCCGCCTATTAGCCGCGCATTATTAACGCGCGTAACACCGCTTAACGTCTGTCTACGTGCCATCCACAGGTTAATCGTGAGCAATTAGTTAGAAGAATGCGGCAGAGCGGACCGGGGTCGCCGGCGCTTAAATTAGGCCGAGAAATTTGTTTAATGGGGTTACAGCGTGAAGCTACTACCGAAAATGCAGTACCCGCGCGACGCGGATGAATTTAGGAGCACCAGGCTAAAGTATATTCTAACGTAATTTGCGCTTGGATTTTATTTAAATCGAGATATTTATCATTACATTAAAGAACAGGATCATGAAATATTGAAAATATATAGGTATATACTTGAGAAGAGGTTATCTCTTTATTAATTATCGTCGGATTCGTGTAAAATAAAAATTGTGCCGATAAATAATTATCAACGAGCTCTGATAAGAGTAAGAGATTTATAACAAGATTTTCTTCAAGAGAAAAGAAACAGCAAGATAGATGCATTTACCTTTTCGAGACAGCCTGTGTATAATATTGATGCGTGCAGTTATTACTAATTATCTTGTTTACTTCGCCTTTGAATTGCCGATATTGATTACGTTTATACATTGGCTTTATAATCTGTGTGATTTTATAACTACCGTATATACTATCTGATCCAAAATTTTTCTTCTTTTTATCATAATGATCAATTAAATATGAGCCTATTTTACACTCTAAACATTTAAATCAATCTCTTTTGATACATATATCAGAAATTGTAGTTTAAGAATAAAAAAAGAAGTTCCTAATGTTCCTATTTAAATGATCATTATGATCAAAAGAAGAAAAATTTTGGATCGGATAGTATGCTGCAGTTATTAAACCGGATTATAAACCGTTGTGTTAAACGTAGTCAGTAATTATTATCGATAATGAAAATGAAGGTACGAAACGGTCATTGACGACGAGCGATCATGCGTCGGTGTACATCTAATAATTACGTACGTTTCATAAGTACGTCTGCTACAATCTCGATGCAGTTCTCTACACGTAACTCTCTAGCACGCTTACAGCTTCACATGACATACGTGTGCTTTGATTGAAGTAAAGAGATAATACCGCCATATATAATGATGAATAGACGCGGATTTCGGACGGACGGATCCAATATCATCGTAACTCGCAAAAAATGTATTTGTTTCAGACGAGCACATATGTTATACGGAAAAAGAAAATTTTACATACGTGATCCATTATATTTTGTCAGGTACCATTATTACCGAAACGTAATATCATTCGTTCCTGAATAATATTCATGTTCGGAAAGTTAATAAGCGTCACATCATTGTCAAAGTATTTTGTGTTTGTGATAGCGAACAAATGATAAAAATAATATTGTATAGAGTATATAAGCTGAAGTGCACAAAATGACGGATTATTACATGATTTTGAAAGAATGCTTTCTTCAACCAGCTTTCATTATGAATTCATTATGATATATTCATTATGATTCTTTCTGTTGTAATAACTTCGTAATCTAACTGCGGCTTATTCGATTGTCATCGTATCTTAAACAGAAGTATTATTAAATTTTTTTTTCATCTGAGGAGGAATAACAAAATCACGTCAAAGCAGATAAAGTACCGCGTTTTCTTCGAAATATATACACATATCTATTATTGTAAGTTATTTACAAGTATTTTTGGTTAAAACTTAAATTTACTTGTTTTCAAATAGATTTCGGATGTAATGAGTCGCTCCCTGAGGAAGTTATGAAATATACGTTGGCAGTGTGTAGAAGAAGATCAAATAAATAGTTGTTTATAATTTATCGTTAAACATACATTTGACATTAGCGTCAGTGAATATTTTATGTCCCATTTATTAAACAGCCTCACTTAATTGTTCCTTAATTAAATTATGAGCTACATTTCCGCCATAAAGGAGGGGGAGGGAGATCGAATTCCATTATAAACTTATTACTGATTCGAACTTTTCCGTACGTATATATCCTGTAGTTTGTTTGTCCAACTCCGGGCGGTAATGAGGAATATCTAGTGTAAAGTGTCTGGATGATCTCGCGCGAATCAACACAAATGCACGATATTATGGGCCGTGTGCGCGAGTGCGCGTAATATACTCGTGAACTTTCATGCGGCCACTCAAAAAGCCGCTGAAATCGAGTTACGATGTTATTGCACGAGAGAGGATCAACATGTTCACACGAGCTCTACGATGCAAGGCCGTGCAGCGTAGCGAACAGTGCTCAAAATATTAGATCGATTCATAAGCAATATCCGTCTACGATGCTTCCTTTATATCGCGCCTTCCATTTATATATTCCCGCGTGCATTTACGACGATATTCGTCGCTTTACGCCGCGGTGGCAAAGTATACGGGCGGTATTGTTACGGCATTGGCGCGATCGGGAGACTACGCGCGAGCGACTATTCAATAAACTATCGAGTCTATTACGCCGAGATTGAGAAGATTTCTCACCGAGGGTGAGGAAAACGTAATTCTGAAATTACTTAGATAATATTCAAAATCCTTCGACGTAGTAAAATAAAAACCTAAATAAAATCTGTGTGAAATTTAATGTCTTAAATATCCGTAAAATCACATATACAAGGAATTTCTCTATAAGTAGTTGAGAAATACTTGTAAATTAGTGAACATGAAGCGTATATAAAAATGTATCTGAATTTTTAAATGAATTACGCGCTGTTATAATTTCTATGATTATTATCATTACTGTTATCACTGTTGTTAGCGTTATTGCTATTGCAGTATCATAATGAGAACTCCACTCGAAACACAAAGCTGCTTAAAACTCCGCGGTACATCCTTCCCAATCTCTATCTATAACAATACCGCACCACTTCAGAATGCTTCGCGTCGTTCGAGGCTTACTTATGAATCGTCTGGGCAAGTACATCGTGGACGACTTCGTGGTCGATCGCGGATCGACTCGTGATCGATCATTCTCTCAGTACGGTTGTTCGCGGCCGGACGACTCACCTGTTCGCCTCTCAGGGAGATTCAGGGTGGTGGCGCGAAAATGCACGGTCTCGCTGCGACCTTTGGCGTTAGTCGAGTAAATGGAAACCTCGTAGTTGCTGCCGGGGTCCAGATTGCTGACGGAGAAGACGGGCACCTTGCTCGTCTGATTGTAGATGGTGGTGGGGCCGCCGCTCTTGCCGGACCCGGCCTCGCGGTCCACCTGCATCGTGAACTTTTGCGGCAGGCCGCCGTCAAAGCCCTCGATGCATTCCACGTAGATCGAGTCGGTGGTTTGATTTAACAAGGAGCAGTTGTGCGGCATGTCCGGGCGGCCTGTTGGATTCGCGCGCGATCAGCGTCAGTAACGGACACGATTCTGCGTGTTGATTAGCAACGTAATTAGCGAACGTGAATGAATGCTTAATTGGCGAATTTCGAAGGTATTCTATGATACTCATAGAGGAGAATATTTGATCCGACAAAATTGATCCCGCAAACGATCATGATGGTAGGAATCGTTTGTATAGTGCTGGGTATCGTGTGAGAACTGTGTTAATTAATTTAATCACGTAATTTCATCTAATATTTAAAGAGGTAATTGATTTAAATCGGAATTGTTTAATTGAGCAAATTCTATTCTATTTTTAAATTATTTATATGCCGTTGTATATTTATAGGAAAATTTGACACAAGAATTGATCTCAAATGCCCAAAGAAATAATACTGTACATCCACTTACTGTTGTTCAGTTTTTTATCTATACGTGCATAGTTTCACATAAAGTTTAAAGACTCTCCACAAAATGAAACAATCACCTATTTTAGACAAAAATGAAGCTTTCAAAAAAGCTGCTGACAGAGCAACTGTCTCACGTGCGCTCTTCTATACAGATTTGATCGCCTCTTATCGGCCGATACGAGTTTAGTTTGAATTTTCGTTTTTGTCCGAGCGACTACGGTACTCAAATTGACATGTCCCTTTTACGCAACGTTCACTTTAATGACGGTTTTTATTGCTTGTTCCAGTAGTTTAGTGCCAAGTGCAGTAAAATTGCGTTTGTCACGTATTGATGCCCGTTCGTCTACGACCTGTCCCGACCTTTGCGAACGAGGGGGATTTTCCCTCGGCGGAGAACGGATTCTTTCGCGACGTGTGTAAAAATGCTTGCGTCCCTTAACCCGTTTGCACGCGAATCTTTATGCTTACTGCTGCGATAAAAATGTGGCGATATCTCTTTCCAATGTTTTGCGCGAATATATTTCGAGCATAATTTTCTTGGTATTACACCATGTTAAATTGACTGTATTTTACACTGTATTAAATATATATTGACTTTCAACAAACCGCGTATTAATATATGTGCCGATAGTTTGAAATATTTACAATATAAATCATAATTGTGGAAATTGAACATTAATAGAAAATAATAATACAAAAAATCTTTGTAATAAAATTTGCAATGACTTGCTACTTTTCTAATATTTCACGAGTGTATCTGGGAGTTCTTCTGTTAAATGTTAAGTTATATTGATGCTTCAAAGATATAATAATGTTTAATATAAATTGCAATTGCAAAGAGTTAGTTAAAATAAAGGGCTGACAGTATTAATAAAAAGTTTACAAATGCATATACTCGGTACAAAACATCGCAATTCTCTTGTCGTCATAATAATAGACGTAAATGTGAAAACGGTTCTGAATTTACTTTCTTTCTTATTTTAAATACCATTATGTCTGTATAGCTTTATATTAACATTTTTGACTCATTCCCGAGCATTTTAAAAGTACAAAAAAAAGTATTGCAAGTAAAAAATTTGAGGAGCGCGTTGATTTATTTTTAAGTTACATCGAGTTCCCTTTCCGGTTTATCGAGATGCCGATAATTCGATGAAGACGCAGTGAATTGCGCAGAACGCGTTGCATTTATAATTTACCGGATGTCGGATGGTAGTGTTTCGACGACAAGAAGAGTAAATGCATCGAATCTATCGAATGCGCTTTTCAAGAGTTTTAGAACGGCGCAACATTCGTCTACTAAAATCGATTTGCTGTACTCTAAAAAGTTGTGTCGCAGCTGTGACGTCATCGAAAGATTTATCCGTCTTCGTTCCGTTTGATTTATTCACCTGGGTGGCGACAATGTTAATATCAGCGATTTGCACCAGCCGTATACAAAAATATCAAACGTCGCATCATTTATGCACATGTCATTTATGTAATTTACATGTTTGTGTTTTAATTCAGTCGCGCTTCAAAAAATTCAAATGTAGCACACGCGATTACGATTCCAACTCAGGTAATACATTCCGTTTATTGCATTATTTAATTATGCCCACTTTAGACTATTTGCATGTAATAAATTTTTGTGAAATTATTAATTGCATCGTAATTGGTTTCAAAATGTATTACGCAGCAATTACAATGTAAAATGCAGTGACGCATTTAATTACGATATATCCAAGCACAAAAAACGCGTCTGTATTTTAATAATTCTTATTTTCGGTATCGACGCGCAGATAAACTGATGCTTATGTAGGGACGCGCGAATGAATCTAAATAGTCGTAAATATTTCTTAGCAAATCGATCATAGTGAAGAGGAGTACGCGGATCGCGCGAGGACATCGTGAGACGTATGTGGGCCAGATCCGAAGCAATTTTTCAGAAGCCCAGTAAGGTCGAGCACTTACCAGCTGGCACGATATGGTAGACGCACGGCTCGAGCTGAGTGCCCTGGTCATTGCTGCCCCAGCAAAGGAGAGTGCCATAGTCCAGCTCGGTCATCGGTGTGTAGGATGCTGTCGAGCGTGTACGGTCGCTCGTGACGTGCGCCTGAGGAATGTTCACCGCCTCCATTGTATTATTGAATTTCCAGGTGAACGATACTTCCGACGGGTTCGCCTCTAGCTCGCAGGGGATCCTCGCGGTCTCCTGTCGCGCCACGCCAAATACCTTCGTCTGGCCGTGCTGGCATACTGGCACGACTGGAAATGTAAATGTTGGTTCGTGCGGTGAGAATGTAAGCCTTGCGTCGCGCGAGTTTATCTTTTACGACAGCATCGATGCGACGATAAATGTTATTTGATAGCAAAAGTACACGATATCTGTTTCATGACACGTCAAATGATCCATTAAATTATTGAACTTTGATAATTCGCGAGGCACGTAGATAAAGAGGATACAACGATCTGAACAAGAATCTGTGCTGTTACTTTCTAATTGTGATCGTTAAAGATAATAATAATGAAAATGGCGAGTTTTATATTGAGCCATTGATAATAAGAGAGTTACTTAACGTTGAAAATTACTTGAGATGAATTAAACCTCAACAGACGGAATGTATAATGCAATCAAATATTTTTAGCTTATTTCAAAAGAATCATATAACATTCTTTTATATAAATATATAGACATAACATATGGGATTAATTACTTAATTAATTAAACATTTTTAAAATTAAACGAAATATTATAGTTGGCACCTGTTTCGCAGTGAATATCCTTTATCTAGTAGATACATCAGTAACAGGATTAGATATTTTCATCGATGGTCTGTATCGAGGAATGATCGACATGTAAATTCTAGTATACGTCGAAGGCTAATATGATTATTAAGCACTACCCGTAATTAAGCATTAACGATGGAATTCATGTCCCTGCACCATTCCCGAGTTTCGTGTCAACCTCAGTCGACACGGTATCTGATATCGCCGTAATATACATAATACGCAATATACATGTATATATCCTGTAATCTACATATTGCAATGGTGCGCCATTAGTAGAGCATGTCTTCATTGTTCGGACAGGGTGGGGGGCACTCGCATATGTTCTTGAACAACGTTTTCCCCTATTATATTCTCCAGGAAACAGTTACTAACATCGTTTCACAATTCATGGCAACTGAAAGTACATTGTTACCCACTCGGTAAGAAAATAAGCCTGCGGCTGCACGCAACTCTTTACGCTGCGGGAGAGAAAAAAAGTGGAGAAAACCCCGCATTTTCTCCCGCATTTTCAAGTATGTACTTTGCGAACTATTCACAGAGCGGTTCGCAAATGGAGAAACTGCATATGTAAATATGTTCAAGATACTCCCACATTTTACCGTGCTAATTAACTTTCTCTGTCGTAATATATAAAAATAACAATAGAGTCTACGCTTTTTATCGAAATGAACTTTATACTTCTTGTTAGATTATATATGTTAGAAATAGAAAAAAGGATGTCGAGGTCGTGGAACCTGTATATGTATAATCCCTGTATATAATCCTGTGAAAGATATACTGTGTATCTCTTCTGGAAGCCACTTGACAAATGGATTGTTTTGACAAATGGACCATTTTGGCAAATGATCGATTATATCTTTGAGAAAAATGTATTTCATGGAACATTGTTTGAAGCACACATTTTTCTCTGAACTAAAATAACGACGTGACAATTAAAACAAACGAAAGAAATGTATTTAAGTGTATACACATGCGTTACATTTTTCCATTTAATAAAATTTTTTAAAATGGGAAGATATACGTATAAAGTGAGAATGTTTCATAGGATCCACGGTCTACGATTTTTATCATAAAATTATCATTAAAATTGAAAGAATTCTAATAGCTTAGTTATTACGTATCCGAACGCGTTCATCAACGACTCGGGTGGGGGGGAGGGGGCGATCGATCGTTATCTCCGGTAGTATCTGCAATTGACATTCACTTCCACGAACGAAAGAAGATATTCGGTGTAAGCTGACAAAGGGTCCCCTGCGACCTCGGCTCAGGACGGAAGTCTAGTCCGTCTCGTCTGGAAATTCAATAATACTTTGGACGTAGAAGTGGAGGAGCCGTAGAGCATGCGGGATATCCGGCGCACATATAGAGACTAGAACCCTTCATTGATTAGATCAGTCATAAAATTCCGGACGGTATCCGGTGCCTGCGTATTGCATCCCCTTTGTACTTTGCACAGTTGTCGAAAGACGTCCGATCTTGAGAGGGAGGGAGAGGGGGAAGACGCCTGGAAAGGGATGCCGCTCCGGACAGCGTCCCTGTCCATGCATCGCGCAGGCTAGTACGAAAGGCGAACCTTTATCCTCTTATTCTGGCGATCGTCGAAAAATATCTTAGGGATGTCATAAGGTTGCAATAAAGGTCACGAGTTGGAGAGCGACGAGCGTTACGCGATTACGTGCCGGAAAGGCGGATTCGCGTTTCGTGACAAACGCGATTTCGTATTTCCGCGTGTATGTACGCAGATATCGCGCAGTGCATTCGCAATATAATAAGCAATAGCGAGCTTTATAAATAACCGATCGAATAATACGTATATACCAATCATTTATCGTAACGTCCTCTCGCTTGGAATTCTCTCCAAGAACTGAACTCACGGAACCGTTAGGATACGACAAGCCACTTCATGTACATTGTTCTGTAATACTCGAAAGCGCGCACGAACTTGCGGAAATAAATTAATATAAAAGTTTGCCGCGAAAAATCTCGAATGCTCCAGAAACTGCGCCGCGGTGAAAAGAACTTACAGAACACATCGGCGAAATGGACTTACACAACACGACGACGTTGAAAATGTAAAGTGCAGATTTTTACATCGAAATTGTTGATAATAGTTAAACTCGATGCGCGCACGACGCATATACGCGATCACCGCGTATCCCTACCGTTTTCAAGAAGTGGATTGAACTTCCGGCTTAAGAGGAGACTTACTCCAAATAATTTCATTGTCTCGGGCATCAAATAGAACTTGTTTCTGGTTTCCCGATAAAAGCGAGCGTCGAGGACGAGTACGTCGCGATGTCGCGGAAACACAGGATATCGCGATCGATATGGTCGAGGCACTGACAATAACCAATTAATGCCGGTCATTAAGCATCAGTGACAGATCGCTCACGCCAAGCGTCCGTGCCAGCTATCGAAATGATATCTGCGCCGTGTATGCATAATTCAACGGGCCGCAATATCGGCTGCATCGTGAAAAATGCACGTCGATCTGTCGCGCGTGGGTCGCATGGACATATACGCGTAGAAGCGAAGTATGGAGGGTGAGAGGGCGGGGGGGAAGGTTTGCTTTTTGTTCTATTTGGGAATTCGGTCGGTCCATCTCAATTATCTAACGAGAGCGAAACAGCGTCAGGTATAACGTATCCTAAATATTTCGGTTCTATAGAGATGTTTCGAATATCAAATATGATTGGAAGGTCCTTTTAGCTTTTAGACTACACGTGATGAGAACTAAATACAGAATTAATTTATTTTTAATAGTTTTGTTCTTTCTCCACGCGATATATAATCCTGCCATACATATAACTTATATATCAAACTAACAGTTCTTTTCTCATAAAATATAATTTTATCGTCTTCTATAATTTCTTTTTCCTATATATAGTGAAAAAATTCCAGCAAAAAGTGTTGTTGACAATTTCAGGTTGAAAACTGGAAAGAAATTTTAGATTTATATTCTGTTTTCAATCAGTTATTTCTGTCAAATTTTAAGTTTTGGATTTTTAAAGAAGTTTTCGATTTGCTGCAGTTTGTGTGTGTAACAATAACAATTTGAGATGGTTAAGAACCGAGTATTATTAGTATATGGAGCGAAGAATAGTTTCTACGCGCATAAAATAGATTTAATTCCAAATAAGAGTGTCTAACACCCAAAAACACCTTACTCGAATATAATGTAGGTATTTATACGCATGCTATTTACTTAACTGGGAACGGGCTGTCTTGTTATTACGCGAGCGCTTAACGAACTTCTGTCTCTTAGGGGAGAGTAATATATATATATATATATATATATATATATATACATATATGTGTGTGTTTATATGTATACCTATATGTAGGTATAGAGTTAAAGTCTTTCCAAGTGTCTGACGAGTATACGTGTCTTTAGAACACGCGCGGAGGACGTCGACCCAAGAGAGTTATCGGATATCCTGCCGTTGACAGATTCCTTAGGAGATTTAACGGTACATTAGTCCCGGAACATCCTATATACAGGCCGATAGGGTACCAGACTTGGCATATTATTCTATGTTTACGGAATTTGCGTCACTCGCATCTTCGTCGATCGCACGGGGGGGGGGGGGGACGGCCTCGCGGGCGTACATCATCGTCGCGCCGCGCCGCTAAAATTCGTAAGAACGTCGCCGGGACGTATATATACGTCACGAGAATTTATAATAATAATAATCTATGGCGTGCGTGTACATACGTGCGTGCGAGACCGCACGCGAGTGGCCATTACGTCAAATAACGAAGATTTATGCCCGCACCGTGGCGACGATGTACCGCTCGCATAACTTATGCAGGCAGGTTCGCGAGATGCAACTATTACATATATATCGAGATATACCCCAGATATTATATGGATCGAGCGTGGCCGGGACTTGAGATGATACATGTGCGTCGATGCCTTGCTTAATCAGATACATTAATTAGCTTGGCGTTAATGGACCCAGTTAGATGCTCGGCCACGCGGGGTAGTGGGTACCGTGCCGCCGCGTCGACCGATCGATGGATCTTCGACGCGCGTTATCGAACGTCGTAATAAGCATCTCACGCGCGCGTCGCGCATGATAACTATCGGCACGACGACATGACACGGCGATACACCGTGCGATAAGGCTTGTGCCTAGGCATTCCCGAAGTATTCGATACCGAAGAATTTCACGGAGAATTTTATCTTAATTGAATACCTCGATTAATTAGCGTTAATGAGCCGGGTTGCGCGCAATCACGTCGCAGCTATCGGACGAAGGATCTTCAACAACGGGGTAATTATCGGTCGACATATATGCCGGCTGCATGCAACACAATGGCTTTCCCGTGAGATATTAATACAGGGGAGTAATTAATTCGTCCCGCATTCCGCCGAGAATCTCTATCCGGTATACTCTCCCGGAAAGCTGAAGAATCGCTCAAGGAATTTCGCCGCAAGCCACCTAAACGCCAGCGGGGGGGGGGGGGGGGGG